TTCATCCACGTACGCCTCGCCCACCTCGGCAAAGCCGCGACCATCCCCAACAGTAGGCGCAGGCGTCAGAAGAAGCAGCGAAGGGCACCCGGGCAGCACGCAGAAGACGTCCCCGACCTGTGCCGCCACAGGCACGCGCGCCACATGGCCGTCGTCCGTCAGACAGACCATGCCCCTCTGCTGGCGGTTGCGAAACACGGTCAGACAGCGGGCCTCGACGGCGTTCATGGTCCGGCTGGTGGCCCTGTCCTCGTCAAACGTGGCCTGCATAAACGCCCTCGCCTCGTCAAAGGCCATGTCGTGCCCCGTATCGCGCGCGGCCGGCACCGTCCTGTCGCGGAACTGGTTGCCGAACCACAGTCGCGTAAAGGCCTCGAGGAGGTCATCGTACCCCTGATACGCCGTCTCGGCTCGGCGCACGGCCCAGAACGCCTCTCTGAGATCCGAGAACTCGGCCAGCAGCGTGTTCGACTTGGTGCTGTCGCAGACCACTTTGGCCAGCCGCGCGACTTTCACGCCGCAGGTTCGCAGCGTCTCCCGGCCGACGAGGCTGGCCCGGCACGGCACGAACCCGCCGGCGTTCGGCAGGGCCGTCTTGACGCCCGGACACCGCGCCGTCCAGTTGGGCACCCAGGTGAGCAGGAACTTGCCGTCGTGCAGCGCCTGCGGGTGGTGCAAGCCGGCATAGGTCAGAAAGTCCAGGCTCTTGCGCCGCTCGAGCCACACGAGGGCGAGGCCGCGGTACAGGTTGCCCATGGGGAGGGTATAGTCGGCGACAATGGGGAAGGTGCGGCGGTCCTCGTCGGACAGCATGTTGAGCATGCCGTAGACGCGGTCGCGGGGATCCGTGCAGTTCGACAGCACGGCGGCGCTCAGCGTGGCAAACAGGCCGCGCGGGACCTCCTCGCCGAGCGCGCGCACGCGGTCCATGGCGAACAGGGCCGGCGCGTTGCGCTCGAGATCAGCGACGACGTCCGGGTAGTAGTGGACCTCCTTGGTGCCGAGCCAGAAGGCGACGTCCTTGAGGGCCTTCCACGGCACGACGGCGGCGCCGCACTGGACGACGGCGGCGCCAGGCCGCGGGAGAAAGATCTCCCTGCCGAATCCACACGCGTCGGATCCACGGCCGCAGCACGAGGCGGACGAGCCCCGGCCCGCGGTCGCCCTTGGCGAGGGCGACGTCGCCGGCGGAACCAGCTCGCGTCGAGCGCCAACCGACGCGTCGTCGTCACGGGTGCCGCTGCCGCA